AACGGGCAGGGTATACGATACAGTCATCATGCAGAGTCATCATCGGATCTGTGACACTATTAGTATCATAACGATTTCTCTCCTAGCAGTCAACCACTATGGCGTTAGAGTCTCCATAGAATGTATATTTCCGTCGGCATCCCCTAGGGATTACAATGACAGTTTCATCCAGGTAATCTTACAAAAACTTGCAATATAAACAGCGTTTCTTGGTATCTGCCAAGTTCAAGTGTATTCGCCAAAACCAAATATAATTGGCCGATAACGGATAGTTTAGCCGCGCGCCTAAATCACTACCGGCTAGCGCTCGCTTGAACCAAACGTTTCCCGAGCCCACCTAAGCTCGGATCAAGTTACTTTGCCATTGACATGAGGGCATATTTCTTCCACCCCAATCTCGTGTCCCCTCCAGACTTGCATTGAGATCGACTCGCGCAGCTATTCACCATGGTGAGCTTTCTATTCCCCCATAACACCAGCAAGCAAGCCTCAGCCTCTCCCAATATGCGCCCACGTAAAGTTCCACCACCCGCTAATCAAGCTTTGCCCTATACCAGGCGCGAAACAGCGAAAAAGCCCAGTCGATGCTCTTCCGCTTCCGGGCGCAGCAGGCCGCGGATCTCGGAATCATCGACATGGGTCGCACCCGGCGTCCTAAGGCGATCACGTCGGTGGACTCGATCCCCATGTGTGAAAAATGGCGTGGGCAGGTCCTCAAGGAGATTTCGCGCAAGGTGTCCCGCATCCAAGAGCCGAGTTTGAGCGATTATCAGATCCGGGACCTGAACGATGAGATCAACAAGCTGATGCGCGAGAAGTGGATCTGGGAGATGCAGATTCGGAATCTGGGCGGTCCGAATTATATGCGTGGTTCGGGGCGGGTGTATGATGATGAGGGGAGGGAGATTCCCGGTGGTGGGAAGGGTTATCGATATTTTGGACGCGCTAGGGAGCTACCTGGTGTCAAGGAGATGTTTGAGGCTGCGGCTCGACGTGGTCGTAAGCCTGCGGAAGAGGAGGGGGAAGAGAGTCGCGGTCGCGGTGGGGATATCGCGACGAGGAAGGTCGATGCGAACTATTTCGGCTATGGGCTGGATGAAGAAGATGGGACGCTGTTAGCCTATGAGAAGCAGAAGGAGAAGGAGGCCGTTGAGCGTCTGCGTGGGAAGAAGGAAGATGACGTTGAGGACGGATGGGAGCCATTGCCTGGTGACGCTGGTGACGGCGTGGAATGGAGATTGCCGACTCTGGAGGAAGTACAGGAGGAACTTGTTGACCGTCGGAGGAGAAGGCTGTTGGAGAAGATCACTTGAGATGGACGGTGTGCATGGACTGGTGTACGGGCGTCCTCAACGTTTTTCTGTTCAAACTTTCTATTTCATACGGCGTCATGGGTGTCATTTCACATTGTGTTTATCATACGCGTATATGCTCCACTTTCGGATCCCTGGCTTTCCTTTCACGCATTTGAGGAAAAGCAAAAAGCTCAACTGATGATACCAACAAGATTCATTCTATTGTACAATGAACATACTTATTCTATTTACAGTTTCTGGGGTTGTTTCCTTGCCATTCTTTCGGCCTTGCGCGCTTGGGACATACTGGTTCCCACTTCATCTTTCGTGCCTTCTTGACGATGACGTTCCTCTGCCTGCAGGTCATCCAGGATGAACTTCCCCAAGCCACCTGCGCGCCATTTTTGGATAAAATGCAATGCCGCAAGGTCAGTGTTCGGGATACCACCCTTAGCAAGGAGTCCAGTATGACGGGCGAAATCGTTTAGAAGAGGCATAATTTCATTTGTTGGCGGGGACCAACGCTCATATACTTGGGTATCATGCAAATTTATATGGTATAACAGATAGTCTGCTAATGTGACGGGGGAGATCACAGAATCCTTGACGCAACCACAGAGTGCCAGCTTCAGCATCTTTTCTGCATCTGGAACGTATGGCATGAAGACACCGGGCGTGTCCAGCACGTAAACATGAGAGCCGTTCTCTCTCTCGATGATCTTGACGGGAGTTCCGATTTTCCTCGTAATGCCGGGCTGGCCGCCTGTCTGCACAGCCTTGGCTTTGCGCACACCCTGATTTCGCAGGTTATTGATCAACGTCGATTTTCCGACGTTTGGCATACCGACAACCATAACCCGACAGCCCACGAGTTTGTCGGGTCCTTCAGCATCATTTCGTAAATGCTTCAAAATAGAACTCACATCCGGTCGGGACGAGGAACTAACAAAGAACACAGCGCTATTTTTATCGAAATTCTGGACTCTTTTCTCGGCCTATATGAAGGAACGGCAGTATAAGTATAACTCTATGTAGCTCAAACCTGGACCATTTGGAATTTTAACTTTACCTGTTGTTGGGCTGGTGACCCCGATTCTGCACCTAAATCCCTCTTTGTATATACTATTAATCGTCTGGTTTTCCCCAAGGCTTCTTCAAACATGGGATTGATAGATGTAACTGGTACTCTATAATCACGACACTCCACGACGTAGTCAATGGAAGAGAGCATATTTTGCATCTTTTTCAAACCTGCCCGGTGGTGGCCCAGGAAATACGACCTTGGGATGGACGTATAACTGGGGAAGGTCTGTCGGGGAATGAATTTGGCTGCCATCCTACAATAATCTAATAGATTTTATTAGCGGTTGGGTGATATGATTGTATACAGGCTCTTCCTTCACACATTGTTGAGGGTCAATTGCGAAATAGAACCGGCGAAAGAAACAAAGACAGTTTGATATCATTCCCGGCAATATGTCTGAAATGAACGGGCGGTGAGGGAGGCGGTACTGTTGCTTTACTATATTTACTTCCTGTAACTTGATTGGCGGCTGAGCTGACTTGAGCAGCATGCCTCAGGTATCTATCAGAGCCTAGAGGGGTATTACTCCGTACTTGGGCCAAGGTGACCATCAAATACACTGAATCCACGTAAGATAGGGTGTTCACCTAGTTATCCGAGGACACTATCCGGAACCATCCAACTGGTCCAGAAGGGTGTGGAGCTGACGTCACTCCACGTTGGCGCTCCACTGAGCTATCACTGCCACAGACCTAGATGGGAAAAAAAGTATATCTAAACGTTGATGTCACTCCATGTTGTCAAACCTTAACATAGATCTCGATACCTTTGTAGTGAAGATTTGCATCGTCAAGTTTTAAAACATCAACTTCTTATCGTAATGTCGGATTTCAAGCTAGCCCACCGAGTTGGGCATCTTATCGTTCAACCCGCTGACCTCCAACATGATCCTCCAGAAAGTTATCTCTTCATTCAGGATGGACTTATCGTGGCATGCGGGGTGCTATACGCTATGTGTTACTTCTTTTGCATGCTCCGAACATACAGAGACAAGACATATCCAGGAGCTAGCTATGGAGGCATACAATACCTGTAAGTCACAAACTATCATAAATGTGTGAGTATGTATTCTAATCGTTGCCCTAGCTGCTTGACCATGGCATATGAGATATACTATGCGTTTACCACAACGTCTACATGGTTCGAGAAGCTCGCTTTCCTAGTTTGGTTCGAATTCGACCTTGGTTTCACAGCAGTCGCAATTCAACACGCCCACAGCCCGAACCAAAGAAAGCGGCTTTACCGGAATATGATTTGCGGCGTTTTAGCTGGTGTATTGTTCCTCCGGTGGTTGGCCAAGGTTTATCCCGATGAACGAGAACAGATCACTGCGTATTGGACCGGCATCATTCTGCAATTTCCCATTGGTTGGCTGTGCCTGTACAGCCTGTGGAAGAACCATGATACAAGCGGCCATTCCCTTGAAATGTGGTACGTACCCTTCCTGAACATGGCAACGCAAGAGATCTTTCGCTGAGTGATTAAGGATTACTCGATATCTTGGATGCTTCACGGCGTATGGCGTCTTTTTCTGGCGCTATCTAAATGTCCCCCAAAACTGGGCGTATGTGGGGTCAGCTTGGAGTATTTGGACTATTATATTGACTCTCATTCCGGAGACCCTTTACCCATTCGTCTATGTCTGGGTCTTCAACACAAGAAAGGCCAAGCCGGAGTAAGGATCTGCTATACCTTGATGTTGCTCGTATTTTATGCGTGAAATGTAACATCAGCCTCAAGAGTATATAATTCCGACTCCATACAGAGAACCGATCTCATGATATATGTATATAGAATGGTTCGGTGTAACCTCGGTGCATATTTTGACTCGTAACTAAAGTCAATATTGTGGTGCTTTTCTCTATCCAATCTTCAAAATGACACATCCATGATTCGACAAATTGCCAGAACTTTTAGTATGCGGGTTAACCATCTGTAACAACTCTCAAGAGCAACCTTAGCAGTTATGTAGGACTAAGGAGTCTAGGTTGTCTAAAATCTTTGCTTGCCGGAGTAGATACTGTGTACTTCTTATGCTGTGCCTTTTGCGTGATGGTTCATCGGCGACAGCTGCAAGGCATAAAATTTATGCAAATATGGTTGAGACACTTTTTTCATTAACAAGAGAAGAAAAGTACAAGTGCTGTTCGGAAAAAGGTCGTTACCTAGGCTGAAGTTACTGAGACCGCTCGGAAAGCGTTTTTAGTAACGGATTCAGGAAAATACCTCGGCTCATTCTTTACCCTGACTTGACATCAATCCCTACTAACCCCTATTGGTACCATTGGGCACTCTAGGAGTAGGGTTAATTCCTCCGCACCCAGGAATACAATCTTGGTCCGCAGTCACTCGATTTAAATTATCATCTGAGAGTCAGTCACGGAGCTGATCTCGGAGATATTCACATCACTAATCATGATATCTACAGTGATGATCCACTTCGTCGCAGTGCCCCACTTTAACAGATCACATAAGATCACATAAACATAATTCACTGCAAAGACAGAAGATTTAGATCATAGTAGATCCACTCTTGAAACGATGACCGTTGTGCAAATGATGGGTACCTTCCCATGGAGCCCGCGGAGGCGGATCCTACTACTTAATGCAGCTCAACCCCTCGCGGGCCATTGCTGATTATTACACGATATACTTCATCCAGTGTGTTATCCCTCGATCGCAGCAACATGTCTTCCTCTACTGCACTTGACAAAATCAACGTTGTCAACGACCCTCGGGTCCGTCGCTGCTCTGCCGCCATCAATGGCAAGACATATGGTGTGACCTTTTGCTTCCCCCGACGTCCGGAGAAGGTCTCACTAACTTGATTTGGATAGGATATCTCCTCGCCGAGCCTGAGGGCGGCTTTACTCGCACGGTCTTCTTGGTATGTCGTTGAATCCAACCAATGGGGCCACTGGTAGCTAACTCGTGCAAAACAGATTCACGGTTTCCCAGACTTGTCCATGGGATGGAGATACCAGATTCCTGTCTTTCTCAACCTTGGCTTCCGCGTTGTTGCTGTTGACTGTATTGGATATGGACGATCTGTAAGCCTCAGATAACTAGATGTGCTGTATGATTGGTTCTGAGCTCGTGCTGATCTCATTCGTCTAGGATGCACCAACTGGGTCTCTCGACGCCTATTCCTACAAGTCGCATGCCGACGATTTGGCCGAACTTGGAAAGCAACTCGGCTGCGAGAATATCGTTCTCGCCGGTCATGACTGGTATGTCCTCATTTCCTCCGGGATTAATTCTTGATGAGAACACATCTAATCCTCCGAGTAAGGGGCTCGGTGATTGCCTCCCGTTTTGCTCTCTACCACCCTTCTTTCATTTCCCATCTCATTCTCTTCGTTGTCCCATATCTCCCTCCCTCGCCGAAATATATTGATACGGCAGATCTCGCCAAGATCGTCCCCACTGTTGGGTACCAACTGCAATTCGGCAGCGCAGAAGGTGTGGTTGAGTCCCATACTCAAGACAAGGAAGGTATCCGTGCTTTCCTCAATGGCCTGTACGGTGGGGCCACTCCTGAAGGCAAATTTGCCATGGACTCAACCCGCGGTTTTGACTTCGAGGTGGCCACCAAGCTGGGTCATACGAGATTGCTCAGTGAGGAAGAACTGAAGTATTACGTGGAGGAGTACTCGAGAAATGGACTCCAAGGACCTTGTATGAACATTCCCTCTCATCCTATAAAGAACAGAAAAAAACTAATGAGCTTGTAGGCAACTACTACCGTATTCGCCAACAGAGCTGGACGAATGAGCAGTCCCTCCTGGCCCAGGGTAAAGAGGCGATCTCAATCAAGTGCCCTGTGCTTTACGTTCATGCGCTTGCTGACCTTGTGGTCAACTCTGAGATGCCCAAAGCCATGGTACCATTCGTGCCAAATCTCACTGTGAAAGAAGTCGAGGCAGGGCATTGGGCTCTGTGGCAGAAGCCAGCGGAGGTTAATGCCTTTGTGACGGAGTGGCTGCAGCAGCAGGGACTTGTTGGCTCGGCTAAGCTGTAAGGTGGTTGATGTTTTTAATTTTAATTTTCTTTTTTTTAGTTCTGGCTATGTTACCTTTCTTTTATGGACTATACTATATCCGCTAGTATTTTCTGTTAGAAGCAGAAGGACAGTGTATTAGCGATATAGGTGTTACGAATATGAATTCTGGTTTTTCTTGGCATGAAGTCAATTTTAGTCGACAAGAAATCACCCCTCATTGGCTTACGTATCGATTTATACAGCTACTATAAATCTCAAGTTCAACGTCACTGTTTCCCCCCCCCCCCCCAACTAACTCTCTATCAAGTCTCGATATTAACAACAGAAGCAAGTCGCTCGATAATATACTTGATGAACTCTACTGGGAATGCGATAACCAAATCTTGTATTCAGTGTCGAATCAATAAATGTCCCTAATCTCAGCCTTTCGACCCCGCTCTATTCGAACCTCTTCCCTTCGCCACAGGCCCCCAAGACGGCGGGATGAGCGAGAACAAAGTGACATTCATGACGCCGTGGTTGAGGAAAGTGACGATGCGCATTCCATTATAACCCCTTCAAAGCATACTCCAAAGGCGTTTCGAGTCTTACGGGGCTCTGTATCAGCTGGTGGGCCTCTGCGTCCTTTTCGATTGGTGAAGCAGGATATCGCCAACCTGCGCCGGCGATATGTTTCGGACTGGACTATATTCAACCAATTGATCTTCGCTAGCGCGGTATATGTATTCTTTACTAACCTCCTCCCGGGGATCACTTTTGCCAGTGATTTGTATGTCTTGACGGGCAAGACATGGGGAACGATTGAGGTTGTGTTTAGTACCGGACTCTGTGGTATTATTTTCTCTTTGTATGCTGTCCGGAAGGATCCCGAATATTGCCCAGGCTAATCGATTCCAGATTCTCTATTCAACCTCTGACAATCCTTGGTGTTACCGGTCCTTTCTCTGTACTAGCGGAGAATATCTATGCATTGTGTGATGAAGTTTTCAAGGTAATTCCTTGCAAAGCAAATCCGCCACTTGTATATCAATCACCTCAACAGTATTTGATAACAATAACAGGTGCCTTTCCTCCCTTTCATGGCATGGTCCTTGATTCATGCAGCCTGGCTGCATTATATATTAGCCATAATCAATGCTCACGACTGGACTATGCGCTACGTGACAACATTCGCCACAGAAATCTTCTCTCTCTTGAACAGCATTATCTATTTCCACAAGGCCATCCAGGAGCTTGAAAGAGCACACGACACTCTCTCATTCGCCGCTTTTCTATACGCGGTAATCGGCGCCGTCGGAACTATGCTCCTCGCCATCTTTCTTTCCACAGCCGAGAGTTGGAAGCCTTTATTCCATCGCTACATCCGAATGGGGCTCACAGAGTACGCCGCCGCCATATCCATCATCGTCTTCATCGCCATGCCCCATATCGGCGAATTGGCACACCTTGACAAGATGACTCTTCCCGTCAGTAGCTCCTTCAAGCCTACATCACCAGACCGTGATAAGTTTTTCGTCGAGTTCTGGACCTTACCCGTCGGATGGGTCTTCGCCGCCATAGTTCCAGGAATCATAATCACTATCCTCTTCTTTTTCGATCACGAAGTAAGCTCCATCATATGCACAATCGACAGATACGGCACCAGCAAACCCGGCGGCTTCGCATGGGACATCATCCTTCTGGGCACAACAACCGCCATCTGCGGAATCCTGGGCATCCCACCCGCCAACGGTCTCTTGCCCCAGGCTCCCCTGCACTCCGAATCACTAATGCATTCGGAGCGAGAACAGCGCACCGTCGTGACAGATGGCGAAGAGAAAGTTGAGACGCACGAAGTTAAGCGCGTTTACGAACAGCGCTGGTCCCCTTTCTTACACGCAGGGGCTATCCTTCTTTTCGTCAGTCCACCTTTCATGAAAGTCCTCGGCTTAACGCCGACGAGTGTTCTCGCCGGTTTATTCATGTTTATGGGTGAGCAGAGCTTATCGGTCAAGTAAGTACAGACTCTCAACTCATTGTTATGGGGAGGAATATAGCTCACCCAAGCATAGTCCTATATTATACCGAACCTTTTACCTTCTTACTCCTCCATCTGAACTTCCTTCTTTACCATCTTCACTTGCGAAGAAACCAGGGGTTCTGGATCTTAATGATAGTAGCACTCCACCACGCCCCTCTTATATCCCCATCCACCTATATACTATCCTACAGATCGTCATCACAGTGGCTATCTTCATCGTCACCCTGACGCGAGGTGCTCCCGCCTTCCCCGTTTTGATCGTTGCTCTTGTTCCCTTCCGCCTGCTAGTAATGAAACGCTGGTGGCCGCGCGAGGCCCTCCGCTTCGTCGATGCCTGGGCTTGTAGAGAAGGCACTCCTGAGGACGATGAAGATGCAGAGGCAAAGAAAGATGAGCTTAGCGGTGATGATATCACCGGTCGTGCCGGTCTGGGTACCGAGGCACTTGAAATCTTTTCCTCACAGTTAGATGAGTCCAGACGTAGGCCATCTGGGACGCATCCTGGGACGCCAGCTGTGATATCTAGATCTACGTCTCATCCTGATGAGGTTGATATTGCGGATAGGAGTGACTCTGGACAGGAGTGGGTGGAACTTGAGTATCGGACGCGACAAGACGAGGAATTGGGTCGGTCGATCAAGGGGTGTTGATGATGTCGTTTCACTGGTTCGTTGAATGATTAATGGTGGGAACGGACAGAGTTCAGTCATTTGAATTTTCTATCATAGATCTATATATAGTTATGTTGACAAAACAATATTATCCCAAGTCGACCAGGGTATCGCCTGTAGACAAGACCTGCGCCAATCCCATTCCTTGACTCCTAATCATAACCAATACACAAAGAATAGCGCCAATGCCTGTATCAGTAGCCCAAAGTCGAACAAAGCGGCAAAAAAGAATCTCCTTCGATTCCTCGCCAATTATCGATAATACATCATGCTCTCCAACCCTGAACAAATTCGTGAAGACGATCAATAACCACACCGAATATAGCATTTACGCTGTCACCGATGAGTTGCTCGAAATGACGAATAGCCTCCTCTTCTGTCATCTCCAGATGAAACCTCTCTTTGACCTTGAGTACCGCCTTATCCGGCTCAACGCGGATATCGGGGATATTGGCGTCGACCATCAGACTGAACAAGTTGAGGATAAGGCTTGCCGACTTGCGCAGCGTGGTGTACGCGGTGAAGCAATATTGCTTGAATTGAAGGTAATGGGGAGATGTGGTGCCGCCCATTCCTTCGACCATTTCTTTGCAGAGCTTCATCATTGGAGCGAATGGTTTGGGGTCTCGGCCGAGGATGAAACCGAAGTCGGCGTGGAAGAAATGGCCATCTGGGGCGAGGAGAAGGTTCTCAAGGTGCCTGTCGCCGACACCGAGGAGGTATGTAATGACGCAGTATCCGGCACAGGATTTAATGTAGGTATCCATTGTCTCCTTTCGGACACCGAGTGGTTCGCTCTCATCAGGGTTGTTTGCTTGGAGATATGCAAGGACTGACCTGTGCTTGGCTGAAATTGCAGATAAGGATGCCGATGGAATGAACTGAACGGCGCCTGCCGTAGCATTGGTCGCGAGAATTCGATAGGGGGTCAGCTTAAGATCCAAATTCTCCTTCTGTAGGAGACGGTCCATCAGAATGATTATTTGTATAACGAGCTGGTCTTGACGGAGATCATCACCGACTTTGAACAGGATTGGATACTTCTGCCCTTCCGATGTCTTGAAGGTGATGAGTAGAGGAGACAGGGTTGATTTGAAGACGTTGGAATCGTCCGGGAAACAGCCCGTGACTGATATCTCTGGATCTATGGGCAGCGGCAATGGAGGCTCGATGTGCACAAGCTCATTTTTAGGGTCTTTCAGGTACTTTTTGAGCTTCTCAATCTTCAGTGGCCGGCTATCTCGCGAAAATCTGAGATCCTTGGCGATCTTTGAGAGCACGGCAACCAGTTCACCCTGGCGTAACAGCGTTTTCCGATGCTCGGGATGCACTTGTTCCAAATCGGCCATGAAATAGTACTCTACCCGAGCAAAGAGTCTGCGCTGCGCGGATAGGGTCCCAGGGCTAGTATCATCACATTCAACCATTAGATACCAGTGGAAATAACTTCCGAGCTTGAAATTATTTGCAGCGCGAGTGATCAGGAAATTAGCCAGCGACGAATCATGGGCAGCATCTTCAGTGTCATTGTTGGAATTTTCCTCATATTTTAGCGCCTGTACTAGCTGGAGGAGGTAAAGGAGAAGCTCCTCATCGTCGGCCTTCCGAAGCCTTTCAACTGCATAGGAACGGACTGCCGGGTTATCGAACGTTGGTCCAAGGAGCTCCAAAGCATCATCGACATCAATTTCGGTCCATTTAGGAAGAATTTCCACTGCTTGATGTGATTCACCGGCATCGCGCCAGTTCACCGACTTAACAAATTTAGTCAACGCTCGCTTCTCACGAGTTAGATAGTATCTGAAGCGCCAAACAAGGTCCTTCTCCTCAGCAGTGAGGTCTTGCGTTGGCTCGTACGACAGTATGGCGTTTAATTCATCCCGGATCTTTGGATTTGGTTTCAGGTCTCTGTCCATTATGCCGGTACGGTGACTACGAATGAGTCTTCTGTGTTTGTCCTCACATGGATTACCTGTCTGGCCAACTTCAGGGTCGTATATTCTGATCACACCCTCTCCATCAGCACCTTCGATTCCGGGACCAAAGCGAACCTCCGGTGCAGGTTTCAGCGCAGAACTAGGATTCGCAGGTGCATTCTGGGGGTACGAAGAGACCGGGGGTGGAGGATACTCGTGATCAGACCAGACGACGGGGTGGTCAAAGCGTGGAAGTTCGACGTAGAGAGTAAAGTTCTCATCATCCAAATTACCTTCATCCGAATCATCTCCATCAGCCCCATATTTCTCCCGGTGTTTCTGCTTCGTCGATTTTAGGAGGATGGCCCGCTTCCTTGCGGATTCTTCGGCATGAAGTTTCAGTTTCTCCAGCTGGCGAAAGACCATCTGGTCCATCCAATCGATCCGTGGTATTTCCCCCATTTCATGCTTCTTGATCAGCACCTCTACTCGTTCCAACTCTATCTCCTCGGGAGAAGGGCCTAGCGAATCGGGTGTATTGACCCTCCGTCGCTTCGTTGATGGGACAGAAGGGGTAGTTGTCGAAGAGAATCCATCGGCAGCTTTGTGGCGATATACTTTGCACTTCTGCCTCCCCATCTTCAATTTACCCTCTTCATCAAACAGGGATATTGTTGTCCCTCCGAATGGGACGTAATGGCCTTGCGCACCTTCGCCGCCAAATGGGGACAAGTCCCAAATGGTTATCGCAAGCTGGCATTTGTATGGGGCATCCTTGAGTGACATAGGCATCTGTAGCCATTCATTCCAAGCGCGGACCGATTTGAACGTCCTATATGAGGTTTGCAAAGGTACCCCCAGCGGTTTCGAGTCTGACCATAATTGCACTGTGACGAATAGATCGGATGTGGGGTTCTGCACGGAACCGAGGTGTCGCAATTCCGGGCGCTTGAGGAGTACAGAAAAGGGGATCTCTTTTTGCTTCCCTTCCAAGGAGCCACTGCCGAGTAATTAGTTGATTCGGAACCCAACATCTGCCATTAAGAGCAACCCAAGGTCCTGTTTGGCGTTTGCGGCGTCTCTTACATTTTGATTTGAATCGGGAAGTCCACCTGGGTGGAGACAGCGAATGTAAAGGCCTCCATGTTGATTCGGCGATTCCGAATCTGCCCTCATTGACTCTTGGAGTCCTTCATGACATGTATCTCTGTGAAAGGAGGACAAAAGAGCTCCGTCCGGGGAGAGATGGCAATGCGGCCTGTTGATTGGCCAAGATTCATGAGCAACTTATCGGATGACGCGGGGTCAGCTGATTTCACGTGATATCATTCGCAACGCGTTTGGCGCGCGGGCGGTGTTGAAAAAGTAATAATGATTGACAGATGAGAGGAATTGTTGGTGAGGCCACTACGGAGTACTATTAGCGGTCTAATTGCCTCATGTCTTTCTTACCTAAGTGACATCGGTGCCCTAATTAGTTTTCCTAGTGTATTATATCTTTGTCTCACTGGCCTGTCATTGTTTCGGCCCAACCCCTGTCGCGTCTTGTGTTTAACGTACTTTCGTCGAAGTCCCGCCACAAAGCATGGCACGCATTACACACAGCCGTAGGCCTCCAAGTCAATCTTCATCACCAGAGCCTTCATCCGATAAGGAAAACCGCCAAATCTCTGCCCGTGTTGAAAAAAGAAGCCAGGCTCAGACCATGGCCTCTGGCGCCAATGCAAAGCGCCAGCGATTGTCAAATAGAGCGCTCAATATTCAAAGCGGCAGTCAGTCGCAAGTACCAGGATCGCAACAGGATCGCGATAAACAATTTTATGACCCAGATCAGGATGAAAAAGAACGAAGACGGGTTAGGAAGGGACTCAGGGACTTGACGCGGGAGCTACATGGTACAGTCTCACCGCACAGTACTTTATTTTCAATTTCTTAACAATGGTGTAGATTCTAGGAGCGAGTATATGCAACCTGGCAATCATGGCATTCGGGACACCATCCAAAAGGCCAACGAATACTTCCAAGAAGTTAAACAGACTTCAGATGCTACGATCGACTCACGTCTCTTGGTCAGCGCCGCCGACCTCTCGTACAAGAAGACCGCACATTTAGTCTTGGGAGATGCATCTGCAGGTATAGATGTGGACGAATTTGTCTCTAAATGCATATCCTTTATGCGCAGGGCTCCAGAAGATTCGCAAGCTATGCCGTCGAGTACACAGCGTCGTCGTGGTCAGGCCTCAGGCAGAAGCCAAGCGGACCCCAATGATAGCGATGAGGATCAAGGAGATGCGATGAACTGGGACTGGCTTGGACGGTCTGCTTCTTTCCGCCATAATTCACGGCCGTCCATTTCCGGGTTCTTGCTAGGACCGTTGTCGGTACAAAAGCGTACCCGACAAATCACACAGCGAAGGGTTAGAGAGCGTATCGATCCGTCACAAGCAGTGCGACCACAGGAGCTTCGGGAAGAAGACCTTGATCGACAAGAAACGTCCAACCTTACCACCATGTGTACCAGCATCAACAAACTGCTTGCAAGAACGCAGAATGCTGGCCAGGATATGGTAGAGAGACTTCTGTCGCAACTAGAAGAAACTCCCACAGACGAGATGGTGCAAGAAGTGATGGCTCAACACCATGTTGCAGATGATGGTGGTGTTCCCCTGTTTCACTTCTGCATCAACCCGAGGTCGTTCGGACAAAGCGTGGAAAATCTGTTCTACGTCAGCTTTTTGGTCAGGGATGGCACAGTTGGAATTCAGGTAGACAGTCGGCACTTACCAACTCTACGTAGGTCTCCCCTGGGCTTCAGTCATACTTGTTTACCTAACGTTGGTTATCACAGATGCTGCGAAACCGTATGCTCCAAGCGAAGCCCAAAGGAAAGGGGTTCAGAAACACCAGGCTATATTCAGCCTTGACTTTGAAACCTGGCGGGACCTAATCGAGGTGTACGGTATCGAGGAATCCATCATTCCTCACCGCGAAGAAGAGCAACATGAGAACACTGGGCATGGCTGGTATGGCTAGGGGCTGTCTGGCCGCATTGCTCTGCTGACGACAGTCTCTGGAGCCGGGCATTTGAGTTCTTGTTATTCCCTATCTTTCCCTTTTTGATTAATCGTAGATACTTGTGATACCCATCTTGTTCTGCAGGTTGCAAATGAAAAAAACTCATGTTTTCGTAACTTTTCTTATTACTCGTAAAAGAGATCTGCGCACGTGTTTTTAATTGACTTGGAATTACATAATAATTCGTGATTTGAAAAATGTTAACTAACTAGTTACTCCGTAAGGTAGCTTAGCAAAGCAAAATACAATTCAGTCTGTTGGCTTAGAGATGCACAGCGTTCTAGACCGTAGGCCCGGCCAGCATTGCCCGGTCAACATTTAATGTCCATGTGCGGCGTAGGCCAAATCCGTATTGCAGTAGTACTTGATATGTAAACATATCGCTTCAGTCAAGCCTCAAATTAAATTCAAGATTTCCCAAGTACCAAAATATATGATTGGAGGAAGAGGATGTCTTTTCTGGTTTCATGAGCCTTAGGCATGAGTCTTTTGAGCCCCGCGCTACGTTGACGTCACACTTAGCTGTCATACTGTTTCAGCCACAAGTCCAGATTCCTGTGCTTAATTAATTAAACTGATTACTGAACGAACCTCCCAGAGCATGTGAGACCACAAATAACTAACTGGTTGTAGCTATAGCCCCAATAAGTACTTCAACTCCCCATCACGACAATCTCCCTTGGATAATAGTCACACGAAAAAGTACACTCTCAGTCATGGCTCCGCAACTATTTCCCAAGAACCCATCCGAGGTGATGGTAATCCGCAATGTGACGTCGGACGTGATAACAATGAGCTTGCCATTCGCGAGATATGGACGTTTAAAGTTCGGCGGACGAGGAACTCTAGGTACGTATATCCATAGCCAAAAATCGATTTTCTCAACCGGCAAAGCTTGCGCAAAGTAAGTCTAACAACAACCCATACAGTCAAGTTGGCATCCGGCGCTATCGCAGTGTTTTCCCCCGTCTCCCTCACACCAGAAGCCCGCGAGGCCGTCTCAAGTCTAGGTGGCCATCTCAAGTACATCGCAGCGCTGGACCTCGAGCACCATATCAATATCACGTCGTGGAAAGAGGCGTACCCGGACGCCGAGATCATTGCGCCCGAAGGCCTCTACGAGAAGCGGCAATCCAATTCCGAATACAAGGATACTCCGTTCCAACACGTGTTCCGCAAAGAGAACCACGGCCAGCAGAGAATCTCCGATGAGTTTGACTCAGAGTTTGAGGCCGAATACGTGTACGGACACCCGTCACGGGAGCTCGTGTTTCTGCATAAGCGATCGCGCACGCTCATCGAGGCGGATCTCTTATTTAATCTCCCCGCAAGGGAGCAGTATTCGAAGACGGGTGAAAGCGCCACTTCGGGACTGCTTACCAAGATTATCAGTCCGTTGCTGTCGACTAATGCGCCTGCAACATGGCAGAAAAGGTTTGTGTGGTATATACTGTCGAGTGGCGACCGGAAGGCCTTTAATGAATCAGTACGGCGCATTGATAAATGGGATTTTAATCGCTTGATTCCCTGCCATGGGGATGTGGTTGAGAGTGGGGCTAAGGGGGTATTTCGGACGGTGATGGAGTGGCATTTGGAAGGAAGGAAGAATATCTGATTATCTTTTTTTCATGTCTGTCGGTTTTCTCTGCTAGTGCGTTCTATACTCGTTATGTGTTAATGCGAGCGTCAGACTGTACTACTACTACTACTCTGGACTATTGATATGGGATAATCAATGTAATTGTATCATGCCACATGCTATTATTCATCGGCGATTCTGGGAAATATAAGTTAAGAGAACTAAAGCCTTGGTAATCAATCGCTCAATTAATTAATTCAAGTGAAAACCGGAAATCAGTGGGAAGAAAAAAAAAATGAACTGATTAATACTAGGGCGGATGACAATGTGGCGGTCAGATGATCTTCAGGCTACCATGCTGCACATGACGTCACTTCAGCCACAATCTTCATGTTTCCTTTCAGTTTGCTCGTCACCCGTACGGAAAGTGTCTTGTATTTCATTTAAGGAAGAAAAAGAATATGAGGGAAGGAAGAAAACTAGGAAAAAGATCCCGAGAAAACACCCATGTCGAAAAACTTGCGATACTATGTGAAATTCTTTCCATGGTAAAGATATGGAGCTATTGAGCCTTTCCAGGCATAGACCAGATATAAAGTGCGATGGATAGTGGATACAGTGGATAGCCTGCGGTATGGTTTACTTGCTGTTTTCTGCTTAGTGATGGGCATGGTGGAGTACATTTTCAGCCTTAGTTTGCAGCTAGCTCTGTTGATTTACTAACAAACTAATTTTTCGAAGGTAATGATTTTCTGGGATTTCCGAAGTTGTTCCCTTGCTTTTCTGTCGGGACGTACGGAATTGGAAAATTCGAAAAATTGAAGGAATCGAACGGTAATCATCGCTCCAGTAGAGATGTTTATATTGCGCCACATTTGAGACCTGTAGACCGTGATGTCAGAGTATACTGTGCAACACCCGGTATAATCAAACTGTATCGTTGTCCACCGCTCAACAAAACTATCTGAATGATAATCTGGAGCCTAGACGAGACGTCCACGTTGGGCAGAACACGAGCCCTTCTCATTAGCCAATCATCGAAGAGAAACTATGTCATGTCGCTAAAGTGACGATCAAAACAAATTAACTTCATTAACTCGTTCGAGCAAGGACCAAGAAAAAAGAAAAACGAGGAAATAAAAAAATTGTTGCAGATCTTCCTGGTCTGGTTGGAAGCTTGTATTTAAACCGGTTACTTCCTCCACCCTGCTCGCTTCTTGCAGCCGATCTCTCATATTTTATACCGTCCTCCTAGCAGACTACTGAGTGCAGTGTGATATCGGGCCTACCTATACTCCGCATACTTTCTTATTAGGTACCATTATTTCGTACCTGCATCTCTGACCTCACCATCTACACCGCTACTCTAGACTCACACAACAACACATTACGCTGTCATCATGCCCGTCGTCTCACGTCTTGTGTCGATTGTTCTCCGCGTGGTGGAAATCATCTGCGGTGCGGTACGTTCTCCATGCATCTTCACAGGAGGGGCGATTATGTGTGGGAAAAGACAAAAGAAAGCTAACATAATCCGATCCAGATCGTCGCTGGTATCATCGGTTACTACCTTGGTTCGTTAAATGACCTTGAGGCTTGGCCTCAAGCACGATGGATCTATACAGAAGTGGTCGCCGGTTTATCCATTCTACTGGGTCTGATATGGTTGATACCTTTCTCATCCGGCTTCTTTTCGTGGCCCTGTATGTTTTCACCATGCTGTGCCGTAACGAATTTGAGATCAATAGCTGACATATCCTAACAGTTGATGTCATTATCTCTCTCGCTTGGTTTGCTGCCTTCGGTATCCTCGTTGATGCTATCCACAAATTTAGCTGCGGAAGTATCTGGGCATGGGGTGGTATCGTTCATAACGACGTCTGTGGTCGGTGGAAAGCCGCAGAGGCATTCAGTTTCATCTCTGCCTGCGTCTGGCTTGTGTCGGCGATTGTGGTTCGTACTCACCGCTACATCTATGGTGGTAATCTCGCATACTGACTGGGTCTGTGCTTAGGGTATCTGGTTCACCTTCCGGGTCCGTGGCACTGCCAGTGACGGAGTGTAAGTTTTCTATCATGGTTCCTGGCCACATACGTGATGCTTATCTTTATGTAGTAGCAACCGCCGTGGCTTCTTTAGACGTTCCGCTGTTTAAATATAGAAAGCTATGCTCGATGATCTTGTTTGGTTTTCTCAGCTGCCCGACCAGCCCTGGGTATGGCCGGCTATCAGCGAAAATCAGGCCGGAGATTCAAAGAGAGACATCTATCAACCCACACGACACTCTTTATACCCCGATCCTGACACGATACTCCGCGTCGTGATTCAGCATTGGCACAATACAGCGCCACCCCTTGTTAAAGTCGCGTTAAGTTCCGCTTGAGGTTCTCGGCTCGTCATCAGCGAGATACATGACCATTGACACGGAAAACGACCTAATGATTCTCTTTAATTACAATTAATACTAATACAGATACCCCGTCGGTGTGTTGACGAGCTCATGTGGCATGTTGGTGGCAAATATTATCACTCGTTATGTTTAGACCATGATCTTTAATCTTTAGTTGACAATTCAAGTCTACGTTGGCTTTGTATCAAATGTGTGTTGTATATGAATGCCTCGCTTTTCAGGTGTCTAAGATGTTTTGGTCGCAGTTGCTGTCAGGAAGGCGAGTGACTCCGGCTGGTGCTAAGGATGGATCTCGGGCTAAATTTAAACCTAAAAAAACCAATAAGCTGCCGCCTTCCCCTTGACGATTGAGACATTCATAAAAAAAAAAAAAAAAAAAGGGTCCCCAGGCAAAATACTATACTAAAGTCCAACTCGTGGAGGAGTTGAAGCCACGTTGAGTGATTCGATGACTAAGTTCATTTAAAAGGGGCCAATTGATATTCCTTCAGGAGTCTCTCTTTCCCGCGGTTCACTTTCCACTCACCCATGGCTTATGTTGCCAAAAATGCATTCGGACCAGACACCCAGAGGGAGATCCAGGTCCAGGTCCTCTTCCCCTGAAAAGAAATCGCCGGACTCGGAGGAGTATCCGATGCATATTCTGGCCCATGAGGATCCGTCAGGAAACAACCCATTTGTGATCGTTACCAGGCCAAGTACTGACTCTGTACACGCCGACGACCATTTCCAAGGCACCGATGATTTTCATGGCACCGATGAGCCGCTCCTACCAACCTCAAGCCCACGATTGCGGCCTGATCAAGAATCGGGCCGATTCTCGTGCTCTCTCTCTAAGATCTATGCATGGATTCAAGGACCATCGCCGCCGCGCAAGTATTTAATCAACCCTTGGCTGCGCCGATGGCAAACCGCTCCTGGTCGGCTCGTGGAGCGCTATTTTCCTAGCAAGAGCGCTAAGGTCTGGCTCCTTCTGCTTTGCCTAGGTGTCTGGGGCGCTGTGTTTATAGAGACCTTGCATTATTCCGTCTCGGCCCAGGACATTCCGGGCTATGGAAAACCTGTAAAACTCCCATGTTATGGCGGACTGTGGTATGGTAACGTCGAATGATTTCTTCCTGGTCTGGGCCTTATCCTGTGTACTCATCTACTTATCATGGCAGGTCGAACGCTACTAATTGTGGGATCAATGGCGATGATTGTCGTCCCTTTGATAAAGGAGGGTTTGCATTCCGCTGCCCTGCAGGCTGTGCCTCCACGATCGTGCTTGAACCATATTATGTAGGCGCAGAGGAAATCAATTACAAGAGTCTCGTTATCGGAGGTGGTACGGAGAGCTCTGAAAGTAACAACTTCGGTATATATCGTGGGGACTCTGCAATTTGCCCTGCAGCCCTACACGCTGGACTCATCAGCGACCAGAAGGGTGGTTGCGGCATTCTCCGTCGGACGGGCGAGTACTCCGGCTTTGTATCCATCGAGAAGAACGGAATCTCAAGCATAGGCTTCCCATCTAACTTCCCACTCTCTTTCACCTTTGGTAGCGGGGGATCTTCCGACGAAGGCAGCGTAAGCTGTCAGGACCTCCGATGGCCGTTGTTCACCTTCTCTCTGATAGTAACTGCTATATTATCACTATTCACCACGTCGCCTGCAGCGTTCTACGCTTCTATATACCTCATCGTCTACTTCCAAGTAGCTCTTTCGTCTGATCCACCTTACTCCCCAGATTTCTACGAGGTGGTATCCACCGCACTGGGCCGGTTTCTCCCCTGTGCCTTTGTTGGATTTGCGCTGTACTATTTCTGCGTCCGGCACACGCTAAAAGACCTAGACGCCCACTGGGACAAGACCGTCCTCTGGCTGGGTCCCTGTTGGGTGGGAGCCCTCAACACCGACACCTTCGACAAGATCCCCATCTCCCGTTTGACGCCCCACGACATCCAACAGCAACCAGGCGCCATCCCCGCCTTGATCATCATTGTCGCTCTTCTGATCGCCATCGTGTTAACCCAAGCCCTCGCCTTCCGCAACGAGGGCAGACTCCCCAAAATGCTGTCTATATACGGCATCATGGTCTGCGGCATCGTCGCCCTTCTCATCGTACCAAACATGAACCTCCGAATCCATCACTACATTCTCAGTCTCCTCTTCCTTCCCGGAACGACCATCCAAACCAGACCCAGTCTCCTGTACCAAGGTCTCCTGGTCGGCCTATTCATCAACGGCATCGCAAGATGGGGCTTCGACAGCATCCTCCAGACAGCTGCTGCTCTGCTCAACGGCGCGGAGCTGGGCAGTATTCTCCCCGTAATTGGGGCTCCGTTCATCCCTTCAGCCCAAAACATTGTCTTCAAGTTTACGGATGTCGCCGAGGATGCTGATGGGATCAGCGTGTTGGTGAATGATGTTGAGCGGTTTCAGGCTTTCAAGTCAGATAATGGCTCTGTAAAATCCTTCAATTGGACGCGGCTTAAGGCTGATGAGCCGGAGTATTTCCGGTTCGGGTATGTCAAGATGAATGCGCTTGGTGGGCTCTGGTATGAGGATTTTACGAAGCCTGTTGTTTGGGAGGCGGATGGGGTGTGGAATAATTCTGGACATACCTGAGCAGCCTTAGGTTGTCTTCTTCAGGACTCTTTCATATTATTTCGTATATATAGAATGTATATATTACTGTCATGGCCCGCATAGGCGATGTTCACTGAGGTGAGCTAGCTATAGCGGACTGGTATATACTTGGTGTATAGGTTGTACAAGGATTCTAAAGTCCATCAAAACATGACAATGCCCTTGAAATGACCCAATTTCATCATGAAGCGCCGTAACACCAAGCATGCTTTATATTCAAAGTCACACGGTTTCCCCATGCCAGCGGAGAAACGAAAACGCAAATCCAGAAGTCATACCCAAGACGAGGTTCACGCTGCCCTCTTACTTTTTAGTATAGTTGTTACATCTCACCTGCACGGTCTTCTGCTCTCCACCATCCCCAATGACTAGTGCCGTCAATTTTCCACCCTTGAAGCAGCCGGTATCGATACCCTTGGTGTAAGTCTTAAGAGAAAGTGACGACTTGGAATCGTGGCCATAGATGACGGTCGTGAGCATCGACTCGGGGTTTTCGAAGGTCTCATGGAGACTATCAGAGAGAAGTGACTGGTGCTTGTTGAACAACTGATATACTCATTAGCCTTGAACAGTAACGACGATTGCATACATGCAAGAAGCAGAGGCGGGGGCGGGGGAAAGGGACTCACCTTCGTCCACTTCGTGCCTTTGATCGAAGAACTCGGCACATGCGTATCCAAATCAACAGTCAACATATTCATAACACTATACGGATCTTGCTTATCGAGATCCACCCCCGGAACCAGTCCCGCATGGGCCACAACAACCTGGCCCATATCCTGGATCTGGCCTACGTTCAGAACAACCGGACAAGTATCGAGCCAATCGGCCTGCTCGTCGCTCAGCTGTCGCGCCAATTCGCGCTCTCTTGTGTATTGTCCCCTGTGCATGTTTGCGTCGTCTAAGAATTCGTCGTTCATGGTGTTGGCGGCGATCATGTTGTGGCGGAGACTGAGGACTCGGTCTTCGTGGTTGCCGCGGACACAAGACGCTGAGTATTTGCGGACTAGGTCGACGACACCTAGGCTATCGGGGCCCTTGTTGATCATGTCGCCGGTGAAGATGAGATGGTCGGTGTCTGGGTTGAAAGATGTCTCTTCTAGGAGTCTTTCCACTGTAGAATCCCCGAGATAAAACAACGTTAGTACTCAGTAAGCAGGATATATAGTGTAGGGATATCATAAGCAATATACGCACACTCATCCTTGCAACCATGCACATCACCAATAAAAATCAACCTCCTCCCGCCATGCTGATCGGACTCCGATGTCACCTCCCCAGGCAACAGCGATGGCTCCAACGTCCTCAACTGAACCATATTATCGAATCTGGGTAACGCATTCGCCCCAAACCACCCGCCCACTTCCTCCTTCACCTGTGGATCCAGCCCGCGCAGAATCGCCGCATGTTCCTCTAGCCGCGGCAACACAATAAACTTCCAGCCAAGCCAGCACGAGAGCAGAACCGTCGTATAAACAACGACATAGCGACGGAAGCGGGGTGCCGTTATGATCGAGCCGAGTATCTGGACCCAGCGCGGGTAGTCGGAGGAGGCATCGGTGTTTGTTGTGGGAAGGGAGGCATATTTGGGGTTGGTCTTCCACTCGTTTCGGACGTAATCGATTAACGGGCGGGTGTATCTGGTCAGACGGTAGGATGGGGCATTGTTGTTGTTGTTGTTGTTGTTGTCATTGAAAGAGTGTAGACCGTCGTCTGAGGAGTCGTCGGTGTAATCCAGGTTGTTGATGTTGGAATATCTTGCCATGGTTCAGGTTTAGGCTCCCGAGGTAGCGGGTTCTAGGGGACACGGTCGGATTTCCGGGACGGATGGACTTCTTTTCTTTGATGATGTGGATCGCCCTTGGTCGGGATGGAGTTCACTATACAGTGACAGTGATAGTGACCATGTCTTGTATATCAAGGAATTGAGGTCGTGTGCCTTCTGGAGTGGCTTAGATATGATAAGGCGGCAATGTTCGTATCCGCGGAGGCTTTTATGAATTAAACCAGTTAGCATGATCAGGATGGATAAGAACCTTGAACTCGAGGCCAGCGAAACGATCGCCAATAAAGTTTGCATTATTCCCAGTCTGGTTAGGGCTCTCTAAATATAGATTATATAATACTTCCCATTATCGGTTAGTTATAGAATTATGCAAGTATAAAGATGGAGAACATATTCTAACCTCATATTCGATTGTTTGTGCTGGTCTAATCGGAACTCACGAGCCTTGGTATGTTCAATGTATTTCCTTTCTTCAGGAAGCTAGATGGCGTCGCCCCCCCCCTCTTAACTATCGATCTTTGTAAGACGTCTTCTATAGGCACTACAATTGAAGAGTGGATTCTCTATGTTCTGGTGCCATTCAGTTCATAAAATATACTAATCTCCAAGGAGGGGGTCTTTTATTATTGATTGAAGCTGTGTCACGTCTTTCAGCATGTACCGGATATTTATAGAGGTCCTTATCTCTGACTTATCATTGTACAGCCATTTATGTACCACGTTCCCCTCAAACAAATGCTGGCATCATCATGATACATAGATTACTTTTCCACTGAAAGCAGACAAAGCTTGCTTTATGTATGGATAAAGAATTGCTTCAATTCTTAATTTTTTTTTTTTAAGAAAAAAGAAAAGAAAAAGGAAGGAAAAAAAAAATCAAGAAAACACTGATTTATGAATAAGAAATACTCAGCAGAAAACATTGCAGCATCAGATCGTCACCATCTCTTGTCTATATAAGGCACTCATCCCCTCACAAGTTGCTAACTCACTATGAAGCACACCCAGATCTCTTTTGTTGTCCGCTAGGTATACTCCACAGTCTTTCTAAGTAATACAGACTGCTCTAGCGAAATCTCTGCTACCACGGGGGTAAGGCCTCACCAGTTCCGGGTGTATAAGTCTTGTTTTTATTAAGACAGGGATTATCGACACCTCCCTTCTTAGATTCAATACCAAGTCCCAGACTCTAAAAGCATAACACATAGAAACACAGCAGGACTTAACTTGTTACAATGTTACAATGGAACTAGCCTCAGATAACCCCACTTCGACACCCGTGTCCACAACCGAGTCTCCGGTCTTGGATGACGACTTCCCCACCATCTATGACGCATGGCGGCCCTATCTATCTCCCTGCAAGGACACGGATGAAATATATGACAAAACGCAAGGCTGTGATAAAAGCAATTACGGACCGCGTGGATACAGCGGGATTTTTATGCGTAGGCAGCTATCGAGTCAGCGATAACGAATCACATCACAATAGCCCGGCCTACAGTGCTGATATCGGTGGAGAGAGAACATCGACGGGACTGGCGTCGGGTGGTCGAAGAGGTTAAGAGTATATTGGCGGAGTTCGGGATCTCCACGGTTCATGTCATGATTTACAGGGAGCCGAAAGAGGATAGGTGGTGAAGCTGTTCGAGGTGATTTGTTTTGTTTGGGTTGTTGGTGGCTATAGAGGAGTTGCGGTGTTTGATAGCTATATTGTTGAATTAAGGGCTTTGTGATCGCTACTAGCCCTGCTTTTCTGGGGTTTTTCTGTTGTTGTTAGTATACCGAAGTACACTCTAGGAATCTCTAATTGTCCTGGCTGGACTGTAGTCATGCATGTATACTCTTAATATACCTGTCAGACGGGAAGACAAAGCCATCCGTACATCCGTACACAGCATTCTAGATCTACAAGGCTTTCAGTGGGATTCGAATCTAATTGTTTGCTCTACTCTTTGGCTTAATTTCTTCCTCTCAGAAGACGGGAAGCTAGGCAGTGATCTGAATGATGTATAAATTGTTGGTGCCACTGATGTGGCCCAATTGCTAAGTCATTGAATTGTTGATGATGATGATGATGATGATGATGATGATAAGTGACGCCATTGTTTCGCCCTGCGTATGCTTGCCCATGAACGCCTTGCTAACCCAAGAGAAAAAGAAGAAAAGAAAAAATAGTACATATCAACCGAGAAGAATGATGAGTGTGAACCCAGAAGGGAAAGAGCAAAGAGAGAGAGAGAGAGAGAGAGAGAGAGAGAGAGAGAGAGAGAGAGAGTGTGTGTGTGTGTGTGTGTATGTGTGTGAGGGGGTAGAGGAGGCGGGGGAGAGAGAGAGACAGAGACAGAGACAGAGAGTCGGTGAGTTAGAGTTCAAGATCTTCGACAATCTTTAGCATGCTTTCAAAATCACAAATGAGACATTACATTAGACAGGAGGGTATTCGCTTGCTGCGGTTCTAAAAAGAAAAAGAAAAAGAAAAAAGAAAGAAAGAAAAGAAAAGAAAAAAAAAGATAAATGCAAGTAAAGTAAGGAAAATCGAATCGATCGCCGATGCAGTGAAGAAAAGTGACAAATGAGAGGTAAAAGTTCTTTCGGTGAAGACAAGTTTAAGCACTCGAGCGTCGGCGCAACTCATCTCTATTGAGAAGTCGCCGGATGCGGGTGACAAATCTGGAGGTTGTGGAGTCTGTAGTTCATCAGGATTAGCAAAAGTGACAGGTAACATTGGGAGGACGAGAGGGGACTCACCGCTGCGGTACCTGCATGTCGTATGCTTCGAAGAAGTCTCCGAAGGCGGCCGTGATGAAGAAACTTCGGCCCAATAATTGACATCTGGATAGCCAGGGAAGTTTTTGGACCATGGGTTGTCCTCGGATTGTAGTTGAAGGGCCACGACGTGTGGATAGAGATCCCCCAATGGATAGAGAAGTTCCTCTGAGGAGAGGTCTTGCCTCATATCCAGGCTTTGACTCCTCTGTGGTGAGACTCATTAGATATGGTTTCTATGAATCAGTCATAGAGAGGTTGCACTCACGTAAGGCTCATAGTTGGTTTTGTAGCCCATCTTGATAAAAGGTTGAGGAAGGAAGAGAGATCGTAAGTTTGTGTAGAACGATTAATGGTCTGCTGAGGGGAACGGGTGTGGTGATCTTTTTATCTTTGATATCGATCTTGATCTTGGATCTTCAGAGTGGTTTTAGCTTTTGAGATGAGTGTGATGGGTAACAAAGCGAGACGCCTTCAAGGCTTTATAACGAGCAATGCAATCGTGGAGGCAGTCAGCCACACACACTGACAAGAGTGGGGATTTTGGAGTGCATGGCATCGAATCCACCGATTGATTGACATGGCTCGACTCCTGATTTCGATTGGCAATTTTTCTTTTTTTTCCCTGATTAGCGCCATCTCCGATCCTGAATTAGCGTGTTGAATGATGGGTCAAATCAACTAAAATGATTTGAAATTTAGAAATTAGAACAAGAAAATTAAAGTCATGATCTCATCATGAAGTGTGCATAGGCTGTTCACGAGATGGCTAATGAAAAATGAGGGGAGTGACCCACTTGCAAGGATTGGGATCCAATCATGGTCGGGAATGATACTAATCATTCGCAATCGATTACCTCTTAGACTATTAGTGGGCCTTAGCCGACCTCGTATCTATGGAGGACGAAAGCGTGTGTCCTTGTGCAGCAACCCAGGGAACGAGGATGGGTGCTTGTGACCGGCCACTCATAAATCTCGGGCGCATTCGGTCGACCCACCCGTCAGGTACACAGACTTCCGTCCCTGAATGGATCTATACCATATCGGGATTCTCCTCCTGAACATTGAGCAGCTAAGCTCATTCTCGTTAGTCACTTGACTTGGTCACCAATAGTAGTGGTATACTAATCGGGTTAGTCATTTCAACACGAATCAAGTGTTCGGCCTGATCGACAGGCCGACATACTTCATTTCGCTTCTTACTGAATTTCTCCCTTGCGTCCAGTGAGGTCATGTTCACCCATCACCACGTTGTACAAGATGCTGTCCCTCAGCAAATATGATAATCAGAGTGTGCCCACACGCTATCACCTCCTGTGTTACCTCAAATGTAGGGTGCGAACCCCGACACCATGTGTGTGTGTGTGTGTGTGTGTGTGTGGAGATGTGGCATGTACCGTACGTATGTGTTGGTGACACGACAGCAAGCAGCTCCTGACCGCTGCAACACAACGGAGGATGCCCACAAAGGAGCTGTCACATCTGCTTCAAGTTGCGGCATCCACTATTGACAGTGACATTCAAGGAACCCCGTTTCGCTCGATCCCACATTGGGTAGGAGCGTTAGTCCGTACCTCGCATAGATGGAGTCCCATTGTCAACTGTCAATGTCATTCGTAACGACCGCCCTAGTAACCATTGTCCTGGGCCTCACTAGGTGAGGCGTGCTGAGCATTGTTGATGGGCTAACAAGGATCAACACTCACTAGTTGGAGAACTCTTCCAAATCTTTTTTCCTTAGTGTCCCCGGTGTTTCCAGGTTGCTGGGTTCAGACTTCAGAGCGCTCAATAATCAATTAGTCTAGCGATAACTAATCGCCAAGCGCAACTCTCTCATTGATCCGCTTACTACATGGGGTGGGACTATCGAGACTAAATGACCAGGGGTTGGTATGTTAGTGAGGCCTTAGCGTCTTAGGGCCAGGTAGGGGGTTCCGCTTCGGTGAAGAACTAGGAGCACTAGCAGAGCACAGCCACGTCCAGACCGACACAGCCACGTACTAGGGCTGAGGTGGCTGTTCATGTGTGGCTAGAGCTATGTGTGGCTTGACCCATTTTTTCCAATAGCACGATGGGGGATAGCCTCAGATCCTCAATATGAGCTCCACTCTGCCAGGGCTAAAGCTTATGACGACCATGTTCATACCGCAGAGGAACCCATTCTGGGTCGTCCTTTACTCTATCCTTTCCATATTCACCGAATTTGTCTTTCGGGGTGCCCGTGCTTCTCCCTTTGGCCGACATGGACGATCCATCGTAAAAGAAACATAAATGCTACCATTTCCACTCTCCCTTACTCTCTTCTCCAGATACCCCAGACTACAGTTGAATATAATACTTCATCGACTTTGTTCTTCATTGTGCTTCGGCCTCTCTATCTTATACTTTAAGCTCCTGCCGCTTGCCGTACATGCTCCAAGCCAGCCATAACAATGGACGTTCAGGGTTCTGGAAGAGAATGCTGGGAAAGTTCTCCATGTATGGAAATACACGAGTCCTCTCCCCTGGCATCTATCGCTTATCATTCCCCTAGTAAGAAACACCCCAATAGCTTGCGCAACTCTCATGATGGGCTTTCTCTAAGATCCGGTTCCCTGGCAGAATCGATCGGTCTGGACTCCGAATACAATGGACATAGACAAGCACCTGCTGTCTGTGTCTCCGAAAGTCCTTGTGAATACGATATGAGCCCCAATCAGGGGATGCTCACGCCCACGGAAGAGCCCCCTGTGGATGCGGAATTCTCTCAAGTGGATCTCAATGAATGGTACCCCCGGTATTGGGCCTGCATGCAACATTTCCTCAACCAAGGACAATATTCGCCTCAGGTGCAAGCATTGGCTGCTTTTGTCAACATTAGACTTCCATATCAGCGATCCACCACGCCAGTCATCGGTTTTCCAAACCCCCAAAACATGGACTCCAGAGTGGAAGGAACCTATAATGCTCCTTCGTTGAGGCCATTTATCCGACGTCTCATCGTGACAGGGTATGATACTCCTTCAGTCTTGCAGGCATTTTTTGGCGATGATTGGCAAGCTGGAGTCGGCTGTGTTTGCAAACAGGAGCGGATCAATTACTTGTTTACTGCCAAGAGTGGAGGATGGACATCAACCAAAGCGGCATATGACATGCTTCCCGATGAACAGACACCATTTCTCCGGCCCCTTCGCGAAGCTACTGAGGAGGAACTACGTATCGCCGAATCACGGTGGAGTGAGTGGCTAGCAATGGAAGATTGGATGGTAGGATTGCGAAGTCCATGGTGAACCGGTCTAATGAAGCGACGAGCAATGAACCTGATGATATTTGTCACTCCTTCATATTCTTTTGTCATATCATCACTTTTTCTCCTTTCACCATTTTTCTTTTCTTTTCTTTTTTTCTTTTTTTGGTGTTGGTTACCCAGTCTAAAATAGGGCTTATTTTTAGCGTCTGAATTTAATTTATATTGATTGCATTTTTGCGCCGCTTCGGATCCTGAAACCTCGGGATCTTCTGTAGTTTAGGATGACCAGGGTGGGTTTGGATAAAGGTTTTAGAAAAAATAAAAAATAAAAAATTGATTTATCATATGCGCCCACCTGTATGGATGGTTTTCTAGATTGTTCTCAGCATGAATCCTCGGTTGGGAGTCTTGGACACATGGTCAAAAACACGTGCATTAGCGCATTTAAAATCTTCTCAACAATGCCCTTATATTCGTAAATCCGTACGGAGTGGATTAATCAATCTATTATAGTTGACATTTGACGTGTCAACGGGTGTCCATAATTTCTCGGCTAGCGTCCAATTGACGGAAGGAAACAAAACGCGAGACTAAACCGGGGGGGGTTTAACAGAAGATGAAATACTAATGTACTGGAGGTAGTAGTTGCGCACCGCCACAAGTCGGTGTCTCCGACATGACGGGAGCTCCGGAACCACGCCTTCCCGCTTTCGGCATGGGGTTGCTGTCAATCTTGAAGGAAGTTGATGATCTCAGCAGCCATGACAAATACTCCCTCCCTGACTATACCATTTGAAGTAAAAGTCACTAATATGAAGAGCTTGACTCACTCCTTCGCGCAATCGCTTACAATTCGGTTTATAATGATCAACGGGAACTCCGGTAATGAGCTTTGATAGATTGAAAGCATGGAGCCTATCGCGTCGCTCCGGAAGTACAGTTCCCTGAAGCTAATTATATCTCCGCTGTCATATCCTGCCTCTGATGGATCCCTCGAGGCTTTTCTCAGCGTCTCGTATCATCGTCAGCCATGATCCGCACGCGCTAATTCCTTTGCTGAAGGCCCAGTTACCTTATTCGATTCCGTTGCTACGGCGCCTCCAGCATGGTCTAGCGTATCCATCATCTACTGCTAAAATTCTGACTACGTTCTCAGGGGTAGATGCGCCAACTTCTCCGTGGCTGGCTGCATATGTGGATCTCTTCGCTGGTCGCGAAACACAGATCGTGATCTACTCAAGCCTCGAAGCCCAGGCGACGTATCCTGGCATTGACGACGACGAATTTGTCTCGATTCTGCGAGCGTCCCGCGAGTCTCTGGAGCAGGCTCGTGCACAACTATTGGCTCTACTATCCCATGTCAAGACGTACATGCTACCGGACTACCTGTCATCCATCCAATCTACTGGATCCTGCCCCATTCCCAACAATCTGGGCCGGGATCCTGCATCCAGACATTCGGGTTTGATCCCTGCGCCGCCCCCTAGGGCTTTCCTAATTGGTAACCTACATACGGGACTATTTTCCTTACTAAGTGCTTCGGGGGATTATACTCATTCGGACCCCGTTCCAGGCCTCCGGGTTCACCGCTTCGATGATCCTCCATACGTCAAGTACCTATTTAGGGGCCAAGATTTTGTCATAGATAGCCCTGACAGCTCTGACAGCTCTAACAGCCCTGACAGAGCTCCGGCCCCACTTCCAGATGGCTTTCGCTTCACCGACAAAGGAGGCCGAATCGGGGTTCAACCACATCAATACGACCTGATACGGTTTCGCACCTGTGTTCCACGCTCACGTGGAACCTTAACCAAGCTCCCGGGAGTGACTATTTATTCCGATCGTGAGACTCAGCTCCAGCCACATTTGTCTGACAGCTCAGATGCAGCTGAAAACTCCGCTGACCGGGCTCCACTCGGGGAAATGCCCATCGCGTGGGCCTTTCTAGGTATTGATGGCAGCTTGGCAACCCTGCATGTTGAACCGGGGTACCGGGGTCAGGGACTCGCTTTGAATGTCTCCAAAGAGGCCATGCGACGAGGGATGGCCGAGGGTGGCATCTGGCGGGACCGCGGAGAGGAGGGCGAGATTTGGGTCCATGCCAATGTGTTGGAAAGCAATACGGCCAGTCGTCGAGTGATGGAAAAGCTGGGTGGTGATATTGGATGGACATGTACGTGGGCTGTGGTGGAATACGATATATAGATTGTGCATCGGTGTAGAGCGTTATCCTGCTTGAAGTATATTGATTTGATAGACTGTAGGATGCTCTCCGTCTTAGTGAGAACTACATCTATTATACAGATAATGTCTCATATATTATATACAATGTTAAGATGTTGACTGCATCATCAAGTGGTGTTTTGATGAAGTAAGCTAGACATGCTTGCAATCTTTTGCGACCGGGCCGGGACATACAGCAAACATATATAGCGACATTTTCACCCAGGCCTACTGTGAAGAGTCTATCGTGTTAAATATACTCGAACTCACATTTCTCAACGATAAAAGATAAAGTAATTATAATAGAACTACACAGAACTATAAATATATATAAAAGATAATAATAAAGATAGGAAGTGATATGATGAAACTAACGGTGTGCCTTACCATGCAGAGATTGAAAGGTCAAGATGAGACTACTTGTGTACGGAGTAGTAGTTGACAAACATAGGCAAATCACCACCTCACTGTTTCTATACAAGTTGCAAAACTATAGCCGCTTGAATAAAGCATTGCATGCTCTTTTTTTTTTTTTTTTCTCCCCCTCAAGAACGTCTTTTCATGAATCTCTTGCAGACCTTGACAAGTATGACTCGACATCCAACTTCCTCTTTGGACATAGTAAACACACCTTACCGGATACGGACTAGGTCCCCGATGTCGCAACCCCGCTGTGAATCATTGGATGAATCATCGTCTAAAGGAACTCCCGAGATAAAGTCCCGTTTCCATCAATTGCAACTCTTTCTCTTCAATTTTCCTAAAACTTCTACTACCCAAGATACAAAATGAGCGGTCCTAAGGCTGTCGCTGAGAATATGCTCTGGGGAGGTCGATTCACCCGTGAGTACACCCGTATTCTATTAAACTGTCCACTGTACCCAGGTTTGAGATACTGATGCCTAGTGTTATTCAGAGGGCCTCGACCCCCTCATGGTTCAATACAACCAGTCCCTGCCCTATGACCGCATCTTTTGGAAACAAGACATTGCCGGCTCAATTGCTTTTGCTCGAGCCAACGTGAAGACTGGTATCCTCACGGGGCAAGAGTTCTCCGAGATTGAGCGTGGCTTCAAGCAGATTGCCGAGGAATGGAGCACCAACACATTCGCCGTCAAGGAAAACGACGAAGATATCCACACCGCAAATGAGCGTCGACTATCAGAAATCATTGGCAAGGAGATTGGAGGCAAGCTGCACACCGGTCGGTCCCGCAACGAACAAGTTGCGACTGATATGCGGCTCTGGTTGCGGGATGAGCTGCGCAGGCTGGACAGCATCCTGTGCGATCTCATCAAGGTTTCGATCTCTCGCGCAGAGGCCGAGCTCGGCTACCTCATGCCAGGTTATACCCATTTGCAAAAGGCCCAGCCAGTCCGGTGGAGCCACTGGATTTTGTCGCACGCTACGGCGTTTGCCAGCGAGCTGCAGCGCCTGCGTGAAGTCACCAAGCGTGTCAACCGTAGTCCCCTTGGTACCGGTGCTCTTGCAGGCAACCCCTTCAACATTGACCGTGAGGCAATGGCCAAGGAGCTGGGCTTTGAGGGCCTGCTGTACAACTCGATGAACACTGTCGCCGACCGTGACTTCGCCATGGAGACTATGCAGTGGGGTAGCTCATTCATGCTCAAGATCTCTCGCTGGGCCGAGGATCTGATCATCTACAGCAGCTTGGAATTCGGCTTTGTTCGCTTGTCTGATGCTTACTCCACCGGTTCCTCATTGATGCCTCAGAAGAAGAATGCAGGTAAGTCCAGTACCCTTTGCTCCTTATGTTTCATCAAACAAAGTGATCGCTGACAGAAAATAGACAGCCTGGAGCTTCTGCGCGGAAAAGCCGGTCGAGCCTTTGGCCAAATGGCCGGTCTAATGATGACGATCAAGGGTCTTCCCACTACCTACAACAAGGATTTGCAGGAGAGCATTGAACCCCTCCTCGATCACATCAAGACTGTTAGCGACAGTATCCAGATCGCAACTGGAGTGCTGTCGACTCTTACCGTTATTCCCGAGAAAATGACGGCTGCCTTGGCGCCGGAAATGCTCGCTACCGAGATTGCCGACTATCTGGTTCGCAAGGGTGTCCCCTTCCGTGAGGGTCACCACATCTCTGGTCGCGTTGTTGCCCTGGCGGAGAAGACCAGTATTCCCATGGATACACTTTCCCTCGAGCAACTGAAAACAGTTGATGCCCGCTTCGATGAAGATGTGCGCACCTGTCTGGATTATGAGCGTGCAGTGGAGTTGAAGGATGCTGTCGGCGGCACTAGTCGGCGGGCTGTCTTGGAACAGACCTCTGTTCTGAGAAGCCTACTGTGAGTGCGCAGTCATTTACAATTTCGGGTCATATATACAAAAAAAGTAGCGAGATGATAATATCTGGTATATACATATTCTAATACATAAGATTTTCAATCAATTTTTTCTTGGAACTCTTGGAACTCTTTGGCAGCAGCACCGCAGCTTAGCCTCAGCAATCTTTGCAAAACGTTTTCCGAGCCGTGTCGCGCCGACACCAGATGGCAACGCGATCCTGAATATTACCATTGGGATCCTTTCCGTTCTCGTGTGTGCGGTCCGGCTGCCAGTGTGCTACCCGTACAAGCCCGTTGCCATTCGGGCTGCCCTTGGAGTTGAATACATCCTCTCCTGGCTGCGTGAGGTGCTTCCAGTAATCTTCGGATGATGCAGTCCACGGTGGTCCCATCTCGGAGGGATCCCTGTGCCTCGGATATTCGAGGCAGACTAGATGGCCATTTGAGACAAGAAGCTGAGTTTGTCGCAGAGCCCATCTGGGGCGGAGCGATGGATCCAGGGCACAGAAAAACTGCCAAACGCAGAGTGAGTACACCTGATTCCCCTAACCACCCTTCAGCAAGATAGCCGGGAGGGTCTACTCACCGAGTGATCATACACTAGATCAAAGGCATATCGCTGTAAACCCAGGGTGTCCAACCAAGCATCATCGAAGAAATCGCCTTGCACAAATGTGACGCTGCCTCTTCCGAATGATGGATTTCTGATCGGATATCTGCCGCCTGTTTCGGATTCTTCCTTCTTGCAGGTTTCGACAGCAGAATGGCTATACTCCAGGCCATAGGCGTCATAGCCAAAGCTGGCGAGAAGAAGTACATCAACGCCTCGACCGCATCCAGGAACCAGTGCCTTCCGCCTATACTGATTTCCCTCCGCATCCTCGACTATAGGATCACCGATGGTCGAGCGGCGCTGGATAAGTGTATCTTCTAATGCTGGGTTGGGAAACCCTTTATCCCAGTCAAGGCAGTCGCCCTTATCCCACAGTTCGGCCCATCCTTTCACATACTCGTCACCTTGATAGTGCGCGAGAAATCTTACAACTGGTTCAAAGTTATCCAGCATTTTCCCGGATATTCCTGGAGGCGTTTATCTTTTTTCGAAGAAGGAGCAGTGATCAATCGACAATCTACTGAATGCACAGAGCAATTTCCCGCTCCTGTACATACTCAGGAAACCTTATATGCGTCCATGCTTTTGCAGACCGCAACATTCCAAAGGATCCATCTATCACGCAGATGTAGATCGCAACGTTGTAAGAACTCTCTTCGTTACGTCAACGAACAGAAAGTAAATACGTGTCCAAGCCTGCAGAATGTATCGTCATGCCTTGACCAGGTCTTTTTCCGACCCCGCAAAAAGATGGCGGTCAAGAAGATCCCCGTTTTAATGACACATCTTTCAACTAAGACATTGACAGAAACTTTCTGCAACGGAGATGATCGCTCGGGGTAGCTTGGATACATTTAGCTCTGGGCCTCTGAAGATCCTTGCGAGCGCTATCTCTCGTCGTTCTCCAACTTTCGGCCACTGCCTTTGGTTGAAAATGTGTCACTATTCTTGCTATGTGCTCTGCAACTGACCTGGACATAGCAATTCGGAATTTCTATGTCTGTTAATTCCTGGGGATTGATCTCAATGCTGTGTTTCGTCACAGCCCCACCAGTGTCTCATGTGAGGTTACTTTTTAGTTCCAGATTAGACCCGGGTCTAGCCGCAGACGACTGACATGGCAGTGAGTAGGAAGAATAGGCTGCAAAAAAAGGCAACTAGTTACTAGGGTGAAATTTGCTATAGAGTGGATTCGAGAGTCTGGATGAGTGACGAGCTCATAATCGAGAATTTCCTTCTTTCTGTCCTCCAGGGTCATAGAGTAAACGAAAGAAAGACTAATGGATATCATAAATACATACTCCGTACATGCTGAGATGAACCCCGCAAAGCCATACACCCCGAAGTAAAATATAACATAACCAGTCCTACACAAGGGGAAATAAATGGAGAAGAAGAGAAAGTTAGTAGAAAGGGTAAAACGTCAACCCACTCTCTACCCGCCCAATCATCATCATCTTTACTATTACTATTACTATTATTTGGGGCTTTTTGAATGCTTTTCTCCTATCGGCTTGTCAGTCTTTCCCTCTCTAGGGTTATCCACCCACTCTGGTCGATGGGCCGATATCATGGACTTTCTTGCAGTATCATAATCCATAAAACTCATAGCATGGGAACTAGCCGAGCCATGAGCAGGGAGACCATTCTGCTCCGAAGCAGAAGTATCAAAGTTCGCAGATAGGACTACGCCATCGGCGGTGAGTTTGCAGGTGTCATAGACTCCTCTGCCTGTTCCCGTGGTGGTGTCGTTGGGAGTGTAGCAGGTTGCTGACGTCGGTGGTGCGGAACGTTGATCAACTCCCTGCACGGTTGGGCTGGCAGTTCGGCGCGTGTCGGTCCCTGCGATGAGACCAACTGATTTGAAGACTGGCGTTGGTGCTGTGAGATGTTTATGAGTTCTCGGATGGGCTGGGCTGGTAGTTCGGCGCGGGGAGTGTAGACTCCTGTGTCGCTGAGATCGGGGGTTAAGACGTTTGGGTGCGTGAATAGGGTGTAGGGTTTTTGGGGAGGGTAGAGGTGGAATGCGTCTAGTTCGGCTGCGGTGGACGTTGGTGAGATGGGGGTGGTTCCGTTGGTGGAGTAGTTGATTGGAGTGAGGAGGGAGCTGGTTTCTGCTTTTTCTTTCTTTGACGGTGCTGGTTGGTGTTGGTTAATTTTCTCTGGGTGTGGGTATTCATACTAGGTGGAGGGGGGAGGATGGGAAGGGGGGTTTTGTTGGTGTACCGTGTGTGACTTGTTCTGTACTCGTTGGGTCATTCTGTGGTGATATGTTGTCGGTATCAAATGTCGTTTTCTTGAAGAGATATCAGTGAGAGGACCGCGAAGAGAGGTGAGCCACCTTACACGCTTCTTGCGTCTGCGATAGACGAAAAACAAGGCAATAGCAAGGAGTATGAGAATTGCGATGCCCCCTATCACTCCTCCGACGATAGCCCCAACGGGCGTTCCATGGCCGGTTTCCGCATCGGCATTGACATTGTCGGCAGCGCTCGTACTGGTGCCAGTACTGGTGCTTGAAGTGCTGGTTGTAGAAGCGGTTGTGGTTCCGGGAAGTCTGGTGGTTTCAAGACGACTAGTCGTAGCTGTGCTGGTCTCAAAGGTGGACTGTTTCGAAGACACTGGTTTCGTGGGTGTCACAGAATGGATCTTTGTAGACGTGCTGCTAGTGGTAGCCGTTGTCGCATCATCATCTTCCGGACAGACACCACCAGCAGAACATGGATCGACAGAGCAACATCCCTGGAAAGGGCCTTGAGAGCAAACATACCACAGTTTCTGACCGGAGCACTGGTGGCTCATAGTGAGGATAGACTAATGACTATATAAACAAGCAATATATGTCTGTAAGGATTCTAAAACAAGAAAACAAAGGTGATGGGAACTTCCTAAGGTGAGCCAGACGACTCGCCTTCCAGGGAGCACCGAGTGTCTATTATTCAAGACCCGGGCACGAAAAAGAGATGAGTCCTCCATGGTCACTGTCACTCAATGTGCACCCATAATATCCACAATGTCTAGGACTAAGAAGGCTAGACGTTGTGCATAGTGGACAGGATCTGCGCCTTTGTTTGCTATACGACTTGGCAGATCCATGTGGTCCAATGCGATTACTATCCATGCACGGCCTCGGCATACATGTGTAGGACAGGCAAGAAACCTGACCGTCCACAAGGCTCAATTCCCGGACACAGCTGCTGTTCCCCGTCGGGGGTGTTGAGAAAAAGGCAGTTATGATGACCTCTGGTAGAACCACAAAACCGGATCGATCCATACATTCATTTGGGCCGTAAATACTTTTGTTTCACCAGGAGTTTGAATGATTGAGAACGGGGTTGGGAACTCTCTTTGCTTTGTTACCTTGTCAGCGTTCAGTTCTATGCCAGATATGGGTGTGGCTGTTCCTGGGTTCTTTGTTTGGTTTACCCTGATGGGTCCACAGGTTTGACAAAGAAGCAGACTTCACGTCTCCCCCATGACAATCAATTGATCAATCAAATGTTCTCCTGGGCATGTTGTTGATTAGGCCAAACTGGCGATAGGTTCACATCGAAAGCTAAAGGAGTCCCTTACACTAGTAACTTTAATAGCTTGGGAAGTCACGGTATTGAGCCAACCCTAATCGACCTAGAAGCATCTTAAAAACCTGGAGAGCTATGCCTCTAAGTTCAAAACCAAATTTGCAACACAAAAGAAAACTCCAATTGTATGATCGGTAATAAAGGGCTACAAAATAACAATACAACGTGAGTACACCGAACTCATCGCCTGGGAAATTGGATATACACATATAAACACACAGGAAATAAACACTGCCAGATTTTCGTGACGCTATTTTTCCTCCACACAAATGACCCCTCCTCTAAATACACCTCTCCATCGGATCACACTTGGCGTGACACGCTTAGTAGACACGCTTGAAGGGTGGCACCGGCTTGCACTCCTTCTCGTCCAGGGTGTTGTGCTCGACGGCACGGTAGCCCAGGTCGATCTTGCCGTGGGGAGTCTTCTGCCATGTGAGAGTGTGCTTCATCCAGTTCTCGTCATCACGGTCGGGGTAGTCCTCACGGGCGTGAGCACCACGAGACTCCTTACGGTTAGCGGCGGCAACAGCAGTTTGGGTGCTATATCATCTGTGGTCAGCTATACTGTTCACCAAAGCGCTTCAGGGTAATACATACGCGCAGGTCAAAAGGTTGCGGAGTTCAAGAGTTTCCACAAGGTCAGAGTTCCAGATCATGCTGCGGTCCTTGGTACCGACCTGGTCGTACAACTGGTCGATCTCAGTGACCTTGGAGACACCCTCATCCAAACTCTCCTGAGTACGGAAGACGCTGACGTCAGTCTGCATGGCCTTCTGCATAGCGTTACGGATGTCGAAAGTCGACTTAGGGCCGTCCGCAGTACGAGCGAAGTCGAGATCCTTGATGGACTGAGCACCAGCGTCGGAGCTCAGCTCACGGTGAGGCTTGCCAGGGGTGGCAATGTCACGGACACGGTGAGAAACAGCGCGACCGAAAACGACCAAATCCAGAAGAGAGTTGGCACCAAGACGGTTGGCACCGTGGACGGACACACAAGCGGCTTCACCGCAAGCGTACAGGCCAGGAACAACCTTGTCGGCACCGTTCTCATCCTGGGTCAGGACTTCACCAGTGTACTTGGTAGGGATACCACCCATGTTGTAGTGGACGGTGGGCAAGACGGGGATAGGCTGCTTGGTCACGTCGACACCAGCGAAAATGGAAGCGGTTTCGGAGATACCGGGCAGACGCTCGTGCAAGAGCTCAGCGGGCAAGTGGCTCAGCTGAAGGTAGATGTGATCCTTCTCAGGACCAACACCACGGCCCTCGCGGATTTCCAGGGTCATGGAACGAGAAACGACATCACGAGAAGCCAAATCCTTGGCGGTAGGAGCGTAACGCTCCATGAAACGCTCACCCTCGGAGTTGAGCAGGTAACCACCCTCACCACGAGAACCCTCGGTGATCAGACATCCGGCGCCGTAGATACCTGTGGGGTGGAACTGAACGAATTCGAGATCCTGGTTGGGAAGACCAGCACGGGCAACCATGGCCATACCATCACCAGTGCAAGTGTGGGCAGAAGTGCAGCTGAAGTAGGCACGTCCGTATCCACCAGTGGCCAGGACAGTGTGGTGGGCCTTGAAACGGTGCAGAGTACCATCCTCCTGGTTGTAGGCAATGATACCGCGGCACTCACCATCCTCCATCAGCAGGTCAAGGGCGAAGTATTCGATAAAGTAGTTGGTGTTGTGACGCAGGGACTGTCCATAGAGAGTGTGAAGAAGAGCGTGACCAGTACGATCAGCGGCAGCACAGCAACGGTAGGCCTGGCCACCCTTTCCGAATTCCTTGGATTGACCACCGAAGGCACGCTGGTAGATACGGCCGTCCTCGGTACGAGAGAAGGGGCATCCGTAGCCCTCAAGCTCACGAACACTGGCGGGGGCTTCTCTGGTCATGTAGTGAATGGCATCCTGGTCTCCGAGCCAGTCAGAACCCTTCACAGTGTCGTACATGTGCCATCTCCAGTCGTCCTCGTGCATGCTGTAGTGTATAGACTTAGCGCAACTGCTATTGACACGCTCGCCAAGGGATGACCTACTTTCCAAGAGCAGCGTTGATACCACCCTGGGCAGCAACAGTGTGACTTCTTGTAGGGAAGAGCTTCGAGACACAGGCAGTGTTAAAACCGGCTTCCGCCAGACCGAAGGCGGCACGAAGACCAGCACCTCCAGCACCGACGACGACAGCATCGTACTCGTGATCCTGTCAAAACAGTCAGAGCGCTAGATCATTTGGCGTAGTCATTATTATATAGACTTACAATGATCGGGTACTTCTCGGCGATAGCGCCAGTGGCTTCCCTCGCGCGCAATGGGTTGCTGCCAAAAATCCGGGCTTGTGGAGGGACGAGTTAGTTAATCAAGACATAGACAATTCTCGCGACCTCCAATGCGTACCTGCGGGCCGGGTTGAGGAGAAAAGACGTCTCTGATCCCTCAAGGCACGGGATATCTGCGCAATCCGCTATATCAGTAAATGTAAACAGAGGGGACGATTGCGCTTAAGGGTCCTGAAGAGACCGTCGGCTAACTGACCTTGGATGCGGGAGCTAGGCTCCGCAAGCTCAGGGAGCTCATGATGACGGGTCAAAAGAAAAGAAACACTTCTCTAATGAGCCGAAGAAAGGGTGTAATTAGAAGGGGGGGAGGGGGGAGAAGGAAGCAGCACAAAGATAGGGAGAGGAGAGTCTTGAAGTCAACGGTGGTGGTGGTGCTCGCAAAGCTGCACTTTTGGATCGTCGGTTCTGCTGGGCCGAATTCCTGGCTGACATAAGCCTTTTCTCACTTGCCGACGGGGAGGACCGGGGCCGAGACTGCCAATGAGAATACACGCAGTGGTAATCACCTCGGGCAGCCGGCGTTTTCTCATTGGCCGAGGATCTCAAGGCACGTGGCCGGTCTTCTTTTAACCCGGCAGCAGCGAAGAATCCCGGAGACAGACGGTACAACGGAGAGTAGCTGGTCTTGACACGGACGGGGAAGCGTTCAATTTTGATTGCCTTTCTCAATCTGAGGTTGGCGGGACAGCTACAGCATTCTTCTCCCTATGTGTTAAATTGAGCTACTATCTGAATGACACAATGTTGACTATCCATTGCTGAGATAATCTATTACCCGGTACAGTCATGTGATCTTCCGCTGGCGGCAAAGAGAGCCAGCAGAGATATACGACGGGTTCATCCGCTTGTCTTCGCTCCCTCAGGTTAGTGAAGATTGGATCACATCTATATGCGAATTCCTATTATGAGAACATTCGTAGAATGAACCACTAGCTAAAAAAAATTGATCATACACATCCATTCAACTATGCAATGTAGCCCAAATGTAGAGGGAAGAAAGGAGTTATCTAATTATACTGCATGTATGTAGCCGTCGAGTTGAATTTCAGGTTGCCCTTGATCACCTTGTCCACAGCCGCCAAGAAGTCCTTCTCCGTGGCAACCTTTCGTCGCGCCCGGATCGCGAACATACCGGCTTCTGTTGCCACACTCCGGAGCTCAGCTCCTGTGGCATTCGGGCACAGCCGAGAGATCAACTCCCATCGAATGTCCCTCTCCACCGACATGCTCTTGGCATGAATTCGAAGGATGTTAGCACGACCCTCTACATCCGGAAGCGAGAACTCGATCTTGCGGTCAATTCGTCCAGGACGCATCAGGGCAGGATCTAGCGTCGACGGCCGGTTTGTAGCGAACATGACCTTGATATTACCACGAGCATCGAAACCATCGAGTTGAGTGATCAGTTCCAACATAGTACGCTGGACTTCGTTGTCGCCACCAGCACCGTCGTCGAAACGTGCACCTCCCACGGCATCGATTTCGTCGAAGAAAATAATGCATGCCTTCTTTGTTCTTGCCATCTCGAAAAGCTCTCGAACCATCCGGGCACCTTCACCGACATACTTCTGAACTAGCTCGCTACCAATGACACGGATGAAAGTAGCGTCGGTTCGGTTGGCCACAGCTCGAGCGCAAAGAGTCTTACCAGTACCGGGAGGTCCGTACAGAAGGGCACCCTTCGGTGGGTCGATACCAAGGTTGACAAAGCGCTCTGGGGAAAGGAGGGGCATCTCGACGACTTCTCGCAACTTCTCAATCTGTTCTTTGCAACCACCGACATCTCCGTATGTCACATCGGGCTTATCTTCAACGGTCATCATTGTTACGCTGGGGTCGATCTTAGGAGGCAGAGGCAACATAATTTGGTACTT